GCTCTTTGTTTGCATCATTCCATCCTTTTCCAGGCTGCCAAATGACTGAGCTGCAATTACTGCTCTAGCAGACATCGCCTCCTCGTGAGGTTACCCTCCGAGAATCCCATTTAAATCGACAAAACAAGTTTCAATTTAGATGTTTTTAAATGTTTTTAGCTGTATCGCAGTGTTTTCAGCAGCTGGGGGAGGAGCAGTTTCACAACTCCAGTAAGAAAAAGGAAACTTTTGCTTTTCCTAATAATTGTACAGTAAATTCTCTGCTTGGAAAAGTATTTCCTAGACCTTTCCAATAATTTACACATACTGAGAGCTGCTTGATTATTTTTTTCCTGTAGTAAAGTATGGCTAGGGCAGGAAAACACGAAGCAGATGCACTATTTTTAATTTCAATAGAGTATTTTTTTTTGTAAGCTAAATTAATCGTGAGATCTCCAGCTCTTGGTCAATTTTAATTTGCCAGGAACTGGGGTTTTAAACCAAAATGAAATCATAGTTTTTCAGTCAGCTCCCTCTGCTGGCTTTCCAGTAGCAAAGCAGAAAGAGGTGGAAGCAATGACCTCTAAAGATAGTCGAGAATTGGGCCATCTTTCTTTTTTTTAGCCTCTCTTCACAAAACAGTGCCTACTTGAGAACTCTTAACCAGTAGTTAAGGGCTGATATACTAACTTGGGAAAATATCTTCCACAGTAGCAAGGGTTTGAACAAAACCTCATTGTGGTAATTTTTTTTTTCCTGCTGGTTGTCTTCAAAAGTGAAATTTGAAGTGTTTTCAGCCGGCGCCTTTATTTTTAAATAAGTAACATGCAGAATGCCTGTGAGAACAGCAAAAGGATTTTAGGAGGAAGGTTCTTTCGCCTTCAGAAACTGGATGTGTTCAGGCTGTTAAATTTCTTTGAGTTAAAATTTAGAACAAAGGGAGAAATGGAGCGAGACGCGTAGGCTCTTTGCCATGAATCCTAATGGCCCCGTAGCTGTTGACACTCTTGCATTAAGAAATTATGAAACTCTGATGCATGCCCTTGCTTTGTTTGGTTTTGCTGCCACTACATTGTTGTGCTTATCTTTTAATGCTGCCCCTTTTTTGGAAGATGAGGACAAGGAAGTCTCCCTGCCCCATAGAAAAGGTGTGGGTGGACAAGCACAAGTATGACGAAGCGGAGAGGCTGCATTACGAAAGAGAAGCGATGCTGGCTGCTGCGGCCCCCGAGGAGGGCCAGGAGGTCGAGGCTGTCAACGGAGTCTGCAATGACGACTCCGTGGAAAGTGAATTCAAGGGAGACCTGAAGAAAGCGAGGAATGGAAAGAAGCAAAGGAAACGGAAGCGTTCTCCGAAACCCAAAAACGCAGCCTCCAAGTTAGACTCTATTCTGAGCGGTTTGGTAGCTGACCACGTGTGGTTCGAGAAGCCTTTCTACGATCACGCTGAGAATGTGTACAGGAAAAAATTAGCCGATTGTCAAACCCAGGAGGCACCTGAGACTGCTGAGCAGTCCCCTTTAGCGGCCGGTTCGAAAGCTGTCCAAGATGTTCCTAAGCCAAGGATGCTGTCACCAGCCCTGTCCTGCTCCCATGGTAGTCTGTCTGCATGTCACCATGTTGTTCAGGGTGTCTGGGTCAACAAGTGTGACTTTGATAAGGCCGAGGAGGTGTTTATTGAAAAATCTCAGTTCTTTGTTCCGCCAAATGTCCTCACCATCCCACCTGTGTGCTCGAGCGCTGGGCTGAGAACGCCGGATGAGGGCTACGTTACGGCCCTGCCCACTCCTGCTACGCCAAGCTTGGCTCTGGACGCTGTTGCTGATTCTGCTGCCGCCGTCGTCACCGGTTTGCCTGGCTCTGTAGACCAGACAGTCAATGGTAAGCCGCAGATTTCAAGCTTGCAGGCTCTCATGTCAGAGGTGTGGTTAGAGAAACCTCTCTACGATGATGCTGAGAAGAGCTTCTACGAGAACATGTTTGATGGTCACCCAGCGGGCAAAGCCAGCCGGCAGCAACGCGGCTGCCCCGAAGCGTTGAAGAACCACCATGAGGACAGGAAGAACTACAGCGCTGAAAAGCAGAAGGACATCAAACCCGCAGAGGTGGCCACTGACTCGCCGCTTCCCAGCGATGCTCAGCAACCTTCGCCTACCTGCTTTTTCCTGCATGAGGACAGCGAAACCGTGTGGCTTAACAAGCTGACGTACGACCGGGCCGAGTCACGGTACTACGCGGCCGAGGCTCTGAAGATGTCAAGAACAGGAGAGCATACGGGGCTGCAGGAATCCACAGCAGTAAAACCCTCCCAACCAGCTGCTCACGCTTCGAGCGTACCTCCGCCAGGAACGAAGTAGGAGAAGTTTATTCTGGGGTAACACACATGCAAAACTGCCGGGTCAGGATTGAGCTGAAAGGATTTGCATGTGGAGAAGACGGGGCGGCTGCAGGACCGAGCCTGCATGGCGCTGTAGGGAGAAAGCTGCTCCTGAGCTGGGGAGCCTGTTTGTGGGGGGGAAACTCCTTCAAAGGAGCTCCATTCTCCTGATAAATGCTGGTGGCTAAAGGTAGTGTTGGTGTGATGCCAGAGGTTGAGCATTTTAAAGTCAGGGCTGGGATGGGAGCTAAGGTTTGACCCTCTCTGTATGGGGGGGAACCCAGGGCCATGCCTTTCCATATTTGTATTAGATATAAAAAGGTATAAAAGTGAGAAGTAATTAAAGTGGTGATTATTTGCTGTTTGAATTACCACAAGGTCCTTCAGAGAAGCTGTTGTCCCCAGTTCTCCTGCAGGGCACGTAGGCCGGTCGTTGAGCTCCGTGCAAGACGTGGCTACGCTTGAGCATCACCACAAACATCCAGCTTGAAGAAGGCTTGGGGAGGACAGTGAGATACAACTTAGGGTGTCGGTGCTGCGTTTGCTTCATTGTGGGAGAAGATTTGCCTTTCTAAGTAGATGATTTGGTCGAAGCCGCTGTTAATTTTGGGGCAGGGCTGGCTGGATTACAGCTCGTTTGATGTGCGCGTGTGTAGCAGGAAGAGCTCCTTCTGAAATTGTAGATGACCGTCATAGTTGTAACGAGCAGTTGGTTCACAGACAAAACATTTAAAAACTTCTTTTTAAGTCCTGGCTGAGTTGCAGTATGATACAGCACTTTCGGTGTTAAAAATGTACTTTTATGTATGACTGCCTGAACCCTGAAGTCTGCACTGAGGGCTGTAACGCCCCGAGAGCCTGTCTGAAGGCCAGTGCCTAGATGCTATTTTGCAGCGAGTGATGTTCTTGGAGCATCAGTCCTTATTTCTGACACTTTGGATCCTTGAGTTTCGTAGGATTTGTTGGGAAGTTTTAAGATCTTTGTGGCAAGTGATACAGGGGGTTGCAGACAGGCATCATGTGCCTTTCACCCCGTCCTCTTTGGGATAATTTTCTCTTTAGTTGGACAGAACTGGGTATTTGGTCGTGCCTTTCACCCTTCCCCAGAAAAGTCTAAGTGTCATTGTGGAATACGTGGCATGAGTTGGTCCGTAGCTGGGATTCTCTATTAATGATACTGGTCGGCAGCTCAAGCAGGATCTTAGAGGGTTGAGTGCTGAGAATGGCTTCAATGTAGAGGACCCGTGTGGGGTGGTGGCCTCTGGTCTCTTTTGGATGGGTAGATGAGAAAGGTGCTTGTTTTACAAAAGACTGGCTTCTGGGGAAGTGTTTTCCTGGAGAGCTGCGGGGTTTTGAGCTGACAAGGGAAGGGTTTGCGGGTTGCTCTTGGTTGTTCTCTTCGTGTTGTGTGGTGGAACCTGGTCATGGTGTGGTTTTGTTGTGGTGCTCTGTCCCCACTCTCCCCGCCTTCTCAAAGGGATGTTGGCTCTGTAGCTGTCCCCGGCTTGAAATAAGGGCACTTGCTGTTGCGGGGGCTCCGTCGTTTGCCCTCAAGTTAAGAAATTAAACACCTTTTGGAAGCTCCTGCGCTGAAGAACAATAACATGTGCCTTTCGCAGCAGCGTTGGAGTGTTTTCTGCTCGTAGTGACGAGTGTCTGAGCCTTGCAAACGTTGCGTTGCTGATGATTTTAATTTAATGGCAGCAGCTTCCAAAAGGGTACGTGTGCAGTGGCTTGTGGTGCTGTGTGGATCTGGATTCCTGGAGGCTGGTTGCTGTTGGTGTCGGGTGGTATGCTGTGCTGAGCTGTTCCTTACAGGGAAACGGAGTCACCGTCCCCGGAGGTGTTAAAAAAAAAAAAAAAAGTGTAGATGTGACACCTTGGGACGTGGTTCAGTGGTGGGATTGGGTTGACGGTTGGACTTGATCTTGGAGGTCTTTTCCAACCTTTATGACTCGGCGGTGCACCTAGTGAAGCATGGCATGAGCAGGTAGAGCCATGTACCAGCCTAAGACAGCAAATAGTTGCTGAGTTGTGTTTGAGGAAGATGGAAACGCTTTTAAATTCGTGAGCTGTGGTGTTTCAGGAGTTGCCTGTCGTGTACGGAGTGCTCCCTCCTTGGCCTGCTGTAGGGTGGCATGTGCTGCTTGGAGCTGCGTGTTCTTCAGTCTTTGGTTTCCCCGTGGCCAGGGGTCTTAAGAATGAAAAGAACTAAAAATGAAGAATTAAAAGTTACTCTTTTTTTTGATTCTCATACACAAGACATCTTCCTTAGCAGCAGATTCCCGTGGGTCTAGCATGATCTAGAAAATCCTGCTCTGAAAGCTGCTTTTTTTGTGTGTGTGTGGAAGAAGATAGAGATCAGCTGATTCTGTCCCCACTTGATGTTCTGTCACGAAATGCAGGTCAGGCCGGGCAGACGGGCAGGTGATTAGACTGCCCTGCTTTCTTAATAGGATCCTCTGTACTTAAACTTTCCACTGGGGGGGAAACTGCCAAGCAGAGAGCTGCAGGCACAGCTCTGTGGGGGAAGAAAACACTCTTCTGACAAGCTCGTTGCAAGCTGCTACCTGTAAGTACTTCTAGGAACTCACTTTGGGTTTGGTTTTTGTTTTGTTTTTTTTTATTTTATTCCTTTCTGCAGAAAAATGGCAGCCAACTACTTTGTGCACGAGAAGATCTGGTTTGATAAATACAAGTACGACGATGCTGAGAGACGATACTACGAGCAGATGAACGGGCCAGTTGGCGGCTCTTCACGCCAGCAGGTAACGCTGCTTCTCACATGGGGCTTAGCAGAGCGCCGGAGCTTTCAGAGCTAGTACAGAGCAGGAGAAAGGACATGATCCGCCTGGACGTGCCCTTTTGTGGTGTTTTCTGCTCTTGGCGCTGCTTTTTTCAAGCGTTGAGTGTCTTCTCTGGAGCTCTACCCCCCCAGGGATGACCCCTGTTGTCCTTTGAAAGACCATCTTCTGTGGCCTGTGAAGAATTTCTCCTGGTCAACCACTGTACTGGGGGATCAGGCACCCTTGTAACACCGGGCAAAGCAGTTATAGGCAGCAGCAGCAGTTACTTTTAATCTTCTCAGGCTGCTGTGGCAGGGCACAAATGCTGCCTGGGATCTGACAGGGGGCGCAGGCTGAGCTGCAGGTCTGATGACTGGGCTGGGCCGTGTGCTGCGCAAAAGAATGGACCTCTCCCCGTCCAGTCAGGGAAGGTACTGGTTTGCTGCCATTTTGGAGGAGCAGCTAATCTTTCCTCGATAAGGGGTGTACTGGGTGTCTATAGGACAGGCCTAGTGTTTGAAAAGAGGCTCCAAAACCCACAGAAATTACGTTCTTCTCTTTGCACCCTGTGGAATAACCAGTTTGCTCCTGCAGAAGGCTGCATCGCGGTACTGGTGAGTTGTGGGGAGGAGGTGGAGGGGAAGCGTAGCGCTGCTGCAGCACACGTGAGCTGAAGTAGTTCCAGCTTAACTATTACCCCCAAATTATTGCTATTTAAAGGTACAAGAGCTGTCGTAACCTCTTCCTGCCACGTAAAGAGCTGTTAACTGCTTCTGCGTTTGGTTGGTTTTGTAGAAAGCTGCTTCAGGTTTCCGATGGCTGTCTTGCAGGTGTTTTAAGGGGAAGCTTTTTGCTGAAGTTAACAGCTTCTAGGCACACTCTGCCTATTCCTGCGGCCCGTGCTAGTGTAGTGGTAGCACAGCACCTGGGACACGTGCAGAAAAAAATGAGGAGCTGTAGATAAGCGCTTGAAGTAGATGTTAAAGTGCAAACCTCGGCGGTGCTGTAGAAGAACCGTTTGTAAGACTATTTCATGCCACGTGAGGAGCTTCCAGTGAAGAAGTTCTGCCTTTGAGAGGTGGCAGGAAGGTTCTGGGGGAGATTCTGCAGCAGATTTTTATCAGCCACTTCTCTGCTAAGGAAAAAAAAGATCCCCACTCCTTAAAACCTTCGTGCAACCTGGAAGTGGTGTCCACCTGAAAGTGTCCAGATTGTTGCTCTTCTGTGGTCTGTTTGACACGGGGGTTTTTGGGCTTGTGGGCAGTTTCGTGTCTCAGATCTTGTCGTTTCGGAAGTGACTCCAACCCTCTGTCTGGCTGGTAGTTGTCCAAACCGTTCCAGGTAATAATAGAGACTTTAAAAGCTCTTGACTGGATGATCTCCTGGACACGTGGCGTGATGGCGACCAGGGATTGCAAGCGACCAGGGATTGCAAGCGGTGCTGCTTGATTTAGAACCAATCCTCCTTGCAGCTCATTTTGCTGAATCATTGGAAGGAAACCCTCCCCCACTCTTAACCCCCTCTCCTTTTTTTTTTTTTTAACTGCCCTGACCGATTTCTGATGTATCTTTTTTTTTTTTAAAAGAAAATCTTGGTTCTTTCTGCACTGTTTGCAGGAGAACGGAGCCAGCACGATCCTACGCGACATTGCCAGAGCCAGGGAGAATATCCAGAAATCGCTGGCCGGAGTGAGTACCCAAGCTCTCTCACCAGCTGGCTACCCGCAACCATTTTTAGCTGTGGTGCATCTCACAGAACTCTGCTGTGACCACTTCATGGATTGTGTGGCTTCTTAATTTTTAAATTAGAGGAGAAGACTAAGGTGCGCAGCGCTGTGTAGCACCAGCGTAGTTCCATCCGGTCAAGAGCACGGTTACTACTAGAGTGCATGCTGCTTACCTGCTTGCTAGCCTGCAGTGCTTTTTAAAACTAACTGCATTTGGGTTAAAATTCTTCAACTGTGCATTCCTTTTCTTGTTTTTCTCCTGGTGGAATGTTCCCACGAGTCTTACCTAACAAGTTACGAGTCGCTGTTAAAATAACCTTGCTGGGTAGCGAAGCACTGAGCTGCCAGCAGGAGTGTGTATGTCTCTCTTGGGGGTACACTGAGCTGCCACCTTCTCTTTCCTGTTTTGCTTTCAGTTAGGGGGTATGTGCAAAAAAATGGTATCTTCCATCTGCTGCATCCAGGGAATTCAGCTCTTAAGTGTGGACCGTGCTGTAGAAGTTCAGTCACATCCTTTCTGGAGGTGTTTTGGTGCTGTTACGTACAGCCAGCACTGCTAAAACTCTGGAATTTTTCCAGAGGAAGCAGAGATCTTAAATTAATAAGCGGGCTGGCTTCACGGGTGAAGAAAATTTCGCAGAATACAGCCCTTGTGTCTTGATTTCTTACCTCTGCTGCATACCTGGAAGCATCTGAGGGTAGCAATCCTTTAGCTATATTGATTTGACCTCTCGGGGTATTTAACACCCTCAGTTTCTGTCTAGATCAAGTACAATCCCAGGGAATTGAGCTTTTCTCAAGGGGAATGTTTCCTGTTCCCCGTAAACACAAGCAGAAAGGAGCCATGCGTTCGGGGTGAATGCGGAGGAGTTAGGTTAACTGCTTTCCCCACCGTGGTCTCTCTGTGCCTGTTGAACTCAGCACTACTAAAGCAACTTCTGCAGCCGAGATACTCAGTACTGCGCTGGAAACTGGGAAGTGGATGGAGGAAGAGCCAGGTAAATTCCATGAAAGGATGGTGGGAAAGGATGAAATTTGCTTTGGTTAGATTCAGCAGCCCCAAGTACAGCATGGGAATCGATGGGAAGTTGGGACATCTTAGTAAAAACAATCCCAAACGTGTTGAGGAGGAAAATACTTGGAAGTTTTCGGACTTTAGCATCAGTATTTCAGCCAACAGCTTAGGGAAGTGTTTCCTGAACTGACTTATTTAAGTTCAGCTCTGAAATAACACGTTAGAGCTTTCAGTAGGGACTGTCAGCCCCTGTCAAAGGCTTTTAGTTTGGACTTTAGGAAGGCGGGCTTGAGGATTTAAGGTCAGGCCTGAGCCGTAGGGCCTTCAAACCGGGATCTGGGGTGGTGCAAAAGGTGGATTGAGACTCTCCAGGGAAGGCTTGAAGGAAAAGCATTGAGGTACTGCACAACTGAGTGAGGGGAAGCATTGAGCACCCTCATCTGCCTTGCTGTCCAGGGAAACTCCATCATTTATTTAACCTATAGCTGCCATTCTGCTCCCGAAAGATGCTTGGGTAAGTGGAGCACATGGTAACGGTGCTCTCTTCCTCCTTTCTGTTTTGTCATCCCGTTGAGCTCATCGTGCCTTACCTCAGCTTACACGATACCCCGGAGAGCTCACCACCTCTGGTTTTTCCACACTTTGCCATGTATCTGCCCTGAAACCTGAAGCAGTAAATCACGGTTGGATCTTCTGTGTGAGTTAGACTGAGCTGTTGAGGAACAGGTCTGAAACATCAGCTTTTGTAGCTCGCCTTTCTGAAGGATCATCATTCACCTCGGGCAGCTGCGGCGTGAGCTTGAGTTTAGAACGTGCTTGAACTTTGTTTTTCTGTTTCCGAAAGCCAAATTGATGATGTCTGATCTACAGAACAACAGCGAAGCATGTTTTTATAGTCAGGATTTCATCTTTCCTTCCACCTGCATGTTTTTTATGGTCAGAATTTAGTCTTTCCTTCCACCTGAACAGGCAGAGTTATTGCCAGCAGTCTGAAGATGTAGCAGGTGAAGAACTGGCTCTTTTAAGGTGGCAAGATGGAAGATGAGTGCCTTTTTTTTGCTGTGAAAATCAGCCAAGGCCGGTTTCAGATCTGCTTCAGCTGGCTAGCGGTGTTCTGAAATGCATGAACGAGCATTAGAAGGGTTGAGGCAATGCTTGGTACCTCCTGAAGGAGAGTACGAAGCTCTGATGCTGGAAACATTTGTTTGCACATACCTTTCATCCCGCTTTGCATGGTCATCTCTGCTTTCAACAGTCTCTCCAGTTGACATCTGCTCGATGGCTAACGCTTTCCTAGATGATAGAGAGTTGTTAACGTGCAAGGGACTGCAGCTGGTGGCGTGGAGAGCGCAGGTGGGGAGAGATCTTGCAGCTGGGGACCGGAGGCACGGAAAGGATTGACTTGCCTGAGATCATAAGCAAGTCCAGCAGAGCGGGTGACTGAACTCGCGCTTCCTACACCCTCCCTGGGGGCTCGAACGAAAGGGATGTCGCTGGTGTGGGAGTCTGAAGCTCTGTTATTCCCCCCTCTGCCCAAGCTCCCTCTTACAAAGTCTCTGTTTTTTGTGGGTTTCAAACAAGAAAAGCTCCCAGAAAACCTTTGATCTTGCTCGAGTGGAGGCCACGTTCAGAAGCGACGGCTGTGCATAGGGGATGGTCACACTTTCTGCAGGAAACCAGCCAGGATCCATCCTGCTGGTCTTAAACAGGAGGGAAAAGCCTCTTCTAGTTCTTCAGTAGCATTTCCCCACAGCTCAGTTCTGTGTGTCTCACCACGGCTAAACTTTGTTCCTGGAGCTCAGGTGGACCGACTGGAGGGGAAGGGTGTTGTGTCTCTGCATGTGTGAAGTAAGTTTATTTTTGGGATGAAGCTGGGAGTGCTTTGTGAGCTCTAGACTGCAAAAAACCACACATCAGAGCTTGTCACTTCTGTGAAAGTTCATTGTAACTGGGTAACTCAAATTAGGGGGCAAGAGTTGGTACCTCCAGATACTTCTGGTAGCGAGGGAAGTTTTCCAGCTTGACATATCAAGGGAAGAGCTCTTAGCTGTGGTTGTCCAGACACATTTATTTCAGCTGACATAGAAATGTAACCATTGCCAACTTTTTCTTCATGAAGCTGATTTTTAAAGTACATTTTAGAGTCAAACTATAGAGAGGGCCAGATGTCGACAGCTGTTTGAGGCTGAGGCTAGATTCTGTTTTCTACCCTTCATAAGCAAGAAGTCATTGCTTGAATGATTGAATTTATATACAGTATATATACAGACACCAAATATATACAGAATATATACTATATATATATATTCTGGGCTTGCTGAGTGCTTCTGCTGTGCAGAATATTTTGAGTAAGTTGCAGCACTGGTCAGTCTATGATTAATGTGGGTTCAGCACAAAAACTATGGCTTAAGCTTCTTGAAAACAAAGGTTTTAAGAGCTCTGCCCATGAGACAGTGCTCGGGAAGGGACTGAAGTCATGCTCTGGAACTCCCCACCTTTGGGATTTCAGATGACTGTCCTTGATAAAATTCAGAAACGCTCATGTCCAGCTTCCTCTTAGCACAGTTGGGTCAGAAGAGGAAATAGCGCTTGGTTGCGCGTAGGAAAAAGCACACCGTGGGTAGCTTGGGTTGGTGACCCCATCTCTCAAAGCTTGAAACGTTCTCACCTCGGGGAAGAGTCCACAGGCTCGTAAAGGCAACTTTTCCGCCATTTCTGACCGCGTGGCGTGACCGCCTCCCAGAATTGGGAACTGGGTTTGGCTAAATGGGCATGAAAAGCACAGCACAGACATGAATCCAGGTTTAGGATTAGCTTAGCACACGTGATACGCTAAATCTGTTCACCCAGGTGCACGACACTGAGCTGTTCACTGGGTGTTTAACCCCTAGGTGCATCCGGGTCGTTAATCAATCTTGCCATTTCTGCAGAGAAACCTCATTAGCAACTTGCAGGTGAGAAATCCTGGAGGCGAGACGACTCCCTGGATAGATGTACAGCAAGGGTTGTCGCCAAGGGTTTTGGGCTACCCAAAAGGTCCCTTGAAATAACAAAACGTTGTTTTTTCTGTGCCCTTCCTTGCTGAGAACAACTTGGCGCAGAGCAGAGCATTTCGAAGGCCTCCCGCCTCTCTCTTGCAAGCTGTAGCTACAGCCTTTTTTGGGGGAAAACGGCTGCGTTTTTCTCAAAAAATGCAAACGCGGAACCTGCTTCAGCGTTTGGCTTGGAAAAAATGTGACTGGGGCTTCCGAGTGCCAAATACCTGTGGTGCTTGCTGCTTAGCTGAATAGGCAGGCTGCTTTTGGGGGGAAAAAGCCCAGCTGCGTATCTCTTTGCGGGTGACACAGCTCCTGTGTTTGATCATGAATCGAAACAAGTGGTGCTTTTGGAAGGGGCGGGGATGGAGGTGACTATGGCCAGAACTCACTTTGCACTGTTTTAATTTAGACCTTGGCCCTTGTGGTGTAACTAGAGCAGGAAGGGGGTCAGGCAAGGAGTTCATCTGAGCTTTCATTTTTGTCCGTGGTGGATAAGGCTGAGGGCTAGCCCGGTGCGATGAACCCGCCGTGGCCAGCAGCCTCTGTGCCGCGGTGCATGTGAGGATGGAAGCCCACGTCGGGGTCTCATCAAGCTGTTAGCACGGAGCTAACAACACATACGGTGTTGTGTGGCTTTACTCCTCTTTAGGAGAGGTGCATTAGTGGTAATTTGGGACTTCATTAACTTGAGTCTTGGTAAAGCATCTCAGTTTAGTTCTGCCACCCAGCTGCGTGACCTTTCTGCGGGCACTGAGGTGTTGAACGAGAAGACGGCGGAGTTCATGGATAAATGCTTCCGTGCGGGCTTTGTGGGGTGTGTGTGGTTGGTGTGAGGCTGTACCTCCTTGCTTGACGAGTTGCCCTGCATGTGGAGCTGCTTCCTGCCCTTGAGCTGCGTTTTCCAGCATGAAAACCCTTTGTATCTTCCACGTTGAACCAAACTTCCCCCAAACCTCTCGCCCTTCGCAGCAGAAGACAGCTCCTCGTAGTAAAGAAGCTCCTTCTGCCCGTCACAAGAGGCAGTCGGGCCGCTCAACTGTAAGTCCCCTGCGCATGGATGGAGCTGGCTGTGTGTGATTTGAGAGGACGTTGTACGACGAGGCCAGCCCTGCCTCAGAGAGTTCTCCTTACGATGGGAAGCACTTTGGCACGTGGTCACCCTGTAGAATAGGATCTTCCACCAGGGCATTTCGGTGTCCAGGGACTGTAGACCTGCACTTGCGTTCCTGCCCCTGCCCCTACGTTGGAGGTTGATTTCATGGTGCTTTTGACCTCTGGCCCCTGCCCCTTTTTTGGGTGGTGGTGGTGGGAGAAGTGTCTCTTTGACCTTCCTTCTGGGAGCAGCTCGTGTTGTTCTACGTGTCTCCCAGGGCCACGCATCCTGAGACCTGCTTTCTGTGCATCCCTTATCCCTCTCTCTTCATCTTAACCCCTGTCTTCCCCTCTCTTTGTCTTCAGTGACTGCTGAGATCTCAGAAGCACGGCAACTGCAGCCGACAGCCACGTTATAATTATACTCAGGGTGCACTTGAAAGAGTATAAATTATTTCCTCTGTTGTTGTATTCAGTTATAATGACACTTAAAGTGAAGTGTGAAGGCCTGTTATTTTCTTTCCCTTTGCTGATTTGAGTTATTAGCAAGCTCTTTTTTGCTGTGGAAGATTGGTATAATTGCTCCCTCAGGATGCGTTAAAGTAGGTTTTAAGTTGTTTTTTGAGAGGAATTAAAGGCTGGACGAGGCAAGGTGGGAGTATAGAAATGTTGGGATCTCGTTCCAGCTTTCACAGTGACTCGCTGTGTGACGTTAGGCAGGTCACTTCTGTGCCTCAATCTGTCTGTAAGAGGAGAGCAGCTGCCCCGTTTACAGGGTTCAGTGTGAAACTTCCAAAACTTTGCGTGTGTTTAGCGGCAGTCTGTGATCTGAGACTGCAAAGAATGACTTTATCCTTCCCTCCTCACTGCCAGCTGAAATTTCTCGAGGTAGATTTCATGCTTCATTCTCTAGAGCTAGTATAGTCTTTTCATAGAGCCTTTAGAGAAAATGTCCTCCTCCTTAGATTAGCTCTCAGATTTTCTTCTTCCCTGGAGGCATGACTCTGCTTTGCTTCACTGAACCACTGAGCTTGGGAGCAGGCGGGAACAGATTGGCTTCATTTCGGTTTTCCTTCTTGCAGAGCGCAAGCGCAGCTGCTCCTGGGCCTGCTGGTGACCACAATGAACTCCTTGCCAGAATTTCTCACCTGGAGGTAGAAAATCAAAACCTTCGCAGTGGTAAGTAGGAGAATCTTGCGGTGTGAAAGCAAAACTGGATGGGGTCCTCTGCTCCTGTGGGGTGTAGCCCTGACTGAGTTTGTCTGTCGTCAGGTGAGCATCTGGCAGTGTCTTGATCAGAGCTTTGCCAGGCTTCCCGCTAGACGGGGGCAACTTTGAGCAGAAGCAAATTTATCCTGACTTGGGAGCTGATGCAGGGCCTATAAGTTAAGGTTCTGTTCTTTTTTTTCCCCTGCATCTTCTCGCAGTTGTTGCAGACCTTCAGATGGCCATCTTCAAGTTGGAAAGCCGTCTGAATGCTCTGGAGAAGTCATCTACCTCTCACCAGCCTTCACCGGTTCCTCCAACCCAGGTGAGCCTTGGCAAAGTGCCGTTCTTGAATGCTGCCAGGTCGTTTCCGAGATCTCGTAGCTATCTGAAGGGGGAGAGATGCTCATAGTTAGGGTGAGTTTGCAGCTGCCTTGTCATCTTTC